TCTAGGGGAGTTGGAAAATGAGCCTATTTTCAAAAAAAAGTGGAGTGTTCCTTTAAATTAAGATACATTTACTTGAGATGCAAAGTGAACATATGAAGTCTTGTTTTCTGTGAAGTGGGTTTATGCTTAAAACAAGAACAAATATCTGTCAGTGGAGTATGAAAACTTGTTTTCCCTTTGAATTAAGCAGATTGTTCGTTTTAATCCCAAACTCAAGGCTTCTTATGTCAATTTGCTTCTCAGGTAAATGTATCTTGATATAAGAATCTTTAAACATTTGCACTGGAAAACAAGACAAAAATACTGATGAAGAACATCGCTTATTTGCAGTGTGATCACAAGGTACAGTAAAAGTTATTTCCTTATTTTAGTGGTTGAGAGCAGAGCTATTCAACCCGAAAGTTATTTATTTATTTGAATTAAAGTATTAGAGATCTGTTGGAAGTTGCTCCAAACTTTGAAACATTGCTAATACAAGACATTTACATTTAGAGACCATATTGACATACTGTATTGCGTTGCATTCAGTTTACTCCTCAAATGTTCATTACTTGGTATTAAAAGTCTTATTTGATATATGCATGCGAAACTGTCATGCCACATCAGCGATAGTGAACAATGTCATCTGATCTTAAACTATTTTAAACAGCATTTTTATTTTATTTTATTATTAAAAGTTGCATGTTATTTGTCAGTATCTCACTTGTTAAAACAACCTGAGATGTCAGTACATTTCTGTATCATTTTTGTGGTTCTGAGATTTTTAGGGTTTTGCTACAAGCCTCGTTCAAGTAGAACTAGTTAGGCTGGTTTGTGAACACGTTGTAACGAGTGATTTTTTTGGGGGGGCTGCTTTTTATAAACGTATTTCCAGTATCAGACACCATAGAATGTATTTGTGGGAAAATGATAAATAGACTACAACAACAATAAGATAAACTCATTCAAGTCTACATTTAGTTTACGAATTTAAATGTAAATCTTCAACAGTTTAACATAGTTGATCTGTTTAAGTTTCGAATTTACAACGAACGATAAGTTGGACTGCTGTCGGAAACTAAATTAAGAGCTGTAAAAGTGTCAAACACAGTACTTACATGTCCACGCTGCTTTTTATAAACGTATTTCCAGTATCAGACACCATAGAATGTATTTGTGGGAAAATGATCAATAGACTACAACAACAATAAGATAAACTCATTCAAGTCTACATTTAGTTTACGAATTTAAATGTAAATCTTCAACAGTTTAACATAGTTGATCTGTTTAAGTTTCGAATTTACAACGAACGATAAGTTGGACTGCTGTCGGAAACTAAATTAAGAGCTGTAAAAGTGTCAAACACAGTACTTACATGTCCACGCTGTTCCAGTTGCTGTTTTACGTCTGTACGCCGGCTGAACGCGCGATGACACGCCCCCTCAACATGACGTCACGTAAGAACGTTCAAAATGACAGAATTCAACCGCAAATTAGTGGGTGTAATAGTTCTGTCAAACTTGCTCATGGTACCTCACAAAGATTTGATATTCATCGTGGCATTAGGCAAGGATGCCCTCTCTCTCCTTTTTTATTTTTGTTAGTCACTCAGGTTTTAGCATCGCATATAAAAAGAAATCAATTTAATGGTATCACAGCTTTAGGTGTACAGTTTAAACTTAGCCAGTTTGCTGATGACACTACAGTGTTTTTGAAAAACAAATTTGAAGTACCAAAAATAATTAGATATATTGAGGAATTCACTGGTGTTTCAGGCCTTAAAATGAATTTAGATAAATCTGTATTATTTCCCCTCAAAGATTGCTCCTCTTCAGAAATAGAGAATATTCCAGTTAAACATAAATTAACATATTTAGGTGTAATACTTTGTAAAAACGAAAAATATAGGAGTCAGTTAAATTTTGAACCAATTATTGAGAAAACTAAAAAGAAATTTAATTTGTGGTTAATGAGGGACATCTCAATATTTGGGAGGGTATTATTGTCAAAGGCGGAAGGTATATCTAGATCTGTCTACACATCATTATCGTTAGATGTGCCTCCCAAGATTATTAAAGATCTAGATCAGATTCTTTATAACTTTATTTGGAGAAAAAAACCACATTATTTAAAAAAGGAGGTAATTTGTAATCCTAAAGAGCAAGGGGGACTGGAGGTCTTAGATTATAATACTCTCAATGACACTTTTAAAATTAAATGGTTGATAGAGTTTATGAAGAATAGAGAAAGTCCTTGGAATGTATTTCCTAATTATATATTTAATACTCTTGGAGGCATAGACTTTTTGTTGAAATTTAATTTTAAATTTTTTTTTTAAATTTAAAATTCCTGTTAAATTGGCTGGTTTTCACAGACAAGCCCTGCTAGCTTGGAAATTGATGTATAAGCACAATTTTTCACCCCATAACTATTTCATATGGAATAACAAGGACATATTATTTAAAAACAAATCTTTATTCTATCATACTTGGTTCAAGGAAGGTATTCTTTTAGTAAGGCAGTTAGTTAATTCCCATGGGTACTTGTTGTCGTATACTGAATTTCTTCAGAAATTCCAATTACCAGTTAAACCAAGAGAATTTGCTATTGTTTTTGACGCAATTCCAAAGAGTGTGATGTTACTTTTAAAAAACTGCATCTCAGAAGAAATCAGCATGGTTAATCCTTGTGGTAACATTTTCATTGAAAATGTCAACGTTTTAAAACAACAGTGTAGCAATAAGATTATAAGGAATGCTCTTTGTTCTGTGTCCCTACCTGCAGCAAGATTTTTTTGGTCTTCTTTATTTGGTAATATCTCTTGGGTTAAAGCATGGAAACTGCCAAATAAGTTTTGTATCAATAACAAAATTAAGGAAGTGTCTTACAAAATACTTCATCGAATTTATCCTGCTAAGCATGTTTTGGAAAGATTTAAGCTTAATATTTCGTATACCTGTGAATTTTGTGGTCAAGAAAAAGAAACTATTTTGCATCTTTTTTTTCATTGTATTTACTCGAGATTATTTTGGAAGGATTTGGAATTCTATATTAACAGAAAAATAGAGTGTATGATAGAAATTTGTATATTTGATGTACTTTTTTATACAGAAAACGAAAATTTGAATTGTAAAGAACAACATATTATACATTTGTTTATTTTGTTAGGAAAATTCCATATACATAAGAAGAAGTGGGCTCAATGTAAACCAAATTTTGCACATTTTATAAATGACTTTAAATTATATGTAAATCTCTTAGAACAAACAAAAAACGAAAAAGCACTGAAAACATGTAATGCTCTGAAAGCATTGAACTTTATGTAATTTTCTTCCCTTTTTTTTCTTTTTTTTCTCTGGCAGCTAATAATGTTAATTTGATCATGTGAATATGTAATACCTCATGTTCTTGTGGCATTGAATTAATAAAGCATAAAAAAATAAAATAAAATTCAACCGCAAGTTCTTGACATATTTCTCAAATGTACACATTTTGTAAGTACAAATGAAACACAATTTAAAGAAAATAACAAAAATAGAACTTAAAAGGTAAAGAAAACAAATTAATGGGCATCACAAATATATGTTAAATTCATTTAGCAGAGACACAGTTCTTTGGGCTTTTCGATTTTTTAAAAACTTTACAGATTCTAAATAAACTCTAAAGGCGGTTTGAAAATGAGCAAAATTGGGTTTTGAGTTACTCCATTTAGTTTGATGAATATATAAAAAAATGTCCTAATAACAAAAACAAATCAATAATAAATATTTTGCTTTTAGAAAAGTCATGTTCATTTGAATGAAGTAGAACAGATGATAAATTTAACCTCCTGAGACCCTGCATCCTCAAATGAGGACATGATATTTTAGTGAATTTATCTAAGACTATACATGCCCCAGTTTTAAGTCTGGATGTCCTGTGCAGAGCACATTCAGGGCTTTTCAGAGATACTAAATAAATTATAAATATTAGATATTTTAATAAACATATAAAATATGCGTATATATTAATTAAATGTTTAAAGTTGAAATAATAAAGTAATTTTAAAACATATCAAATATTTGAATAATTTTAAATAATATATAGTAATTTGAAATAATTAATAATTAATAAATAATTAATAATTAATAATATATATAGCTATTTCCATTCTCAGAAAAAAAAAAATTATTCAAATTTTGAGTAAAATCTTCTCAGATAATGAATCAAAAAGATTGTGGTATTTATTATAGTTCTATCAACATTTACGTCGAATACATCATATTGTGGGATGCTGCATTCCTCTCCCTGTGCTGTTACTGTACATTCTGGCAAATTTTGTATTCCATATATTATATTCTTATAAAAAAAAAACAAATCTGTATGTATGCAGTGTTTATACTGCATAGTATGAGTAGTATAGCAGTATGTCTACTGTATGCTGTTAATATGTTTTGATGCTGACATTAATTAGAAGCTTCTCAAATTTGGGTACTACACCTACTATCTAGAAATGCCAGCATGAGCATCTATCAACATTTACGTCGAATACATCGTATTGTGGGATGCTGCATTCCTCTCCCTGTGCTGTTACTGTACATTCTGGCAAATTTTGTATTCCATATATTATATTCTTATAAAAAAAAAACAAATCTGTATGTATGCAGTGTTTATACTGCATAGTATGAGTAGTATAGCAGTATGTCTACTGTATGCTGTTAATATGTTTTGATGCTGACATTAATTAGAAGCTTCTCAAATTTGGGTACTACACCTACTATCTAGAAATGCCAGCATGAGCAGATTTGCATTTGTTTAATAAGATTCTCACAGGATTCATGTTGTGAATGAATGTTTATATAAAAACTATAGCAGGCCGTTTGTGTGTTTTCATATTTAATTAATGGAGCATGTGGGATGCATAAAATTAGCATGTTTTAAAGGTTCCTTGTCTTTTTATGAATTCAGGTATTTATATCTTCTGGATTGGCTCCTGCTTTGGCTGCAGTTTGTGTCCTCTGAGAAGTCCTGTAAGTCAATATGAATGATGAATTATAGGAGATTGAGTCTGGCATTGTCAGTGACGGAGAGGGATGAACAGGCCTTCAGAACGTCTGAAAGAGATGGAAAATTACTGTAGCCATCTTCCCCCGTTCTCCTTTCACATACAGCATTGCCACATGAATTCATCAAAGCTCTAACGTGAAAATAATAGCTTTGCAGTGTGTCTGAATGTGAATAATTGGCTGAAGTTAAATGGTCTGAAATTCCAGGAAGACAGACATCATATCAAGAGTAAAGCATTAGTCATGACACTTCTATGTCTCATAAACGCCATCCTGTGATTCTGTTGCGACAGGAGTGCATTTGAAAAACAGTCGTCCATCAAGCTAATGGAAATGTATCGATTGTGGTGCAATGTGTTTCTGAAATAGTAATGAGTCTATTGAGGGATCACTGCTGAAAGGCAATAAGGAGTATTTACAGACAACTGTGTTGATGGGTTGTGAGTGTTTGCGTTGAATGAGTGGTGAAGGACATTCATTTGATGACAGATATATGAAATACGGTTACACACAGATGAAAGCACACAACATTAAAGCAATAGTTCACATGAAAATGAAAATGTGTGTGAAATTTACTCACCCTCAGGCCATCCAAGATTAGGATGAGTTTGTTTCTTCATCAGATTTGGAGAAATGTAGCATTCCATCACTTGTTCACCAATGGATGCTCTGCAGTGAATGGGTGCCGTCAGAATGAGAGTCCAAACAGCTGATAAAAACATCACAATAATCCACAAGTAATCCACACCACTCCAGTCCATCAGTTAATGTCTTGTGAAGTGAAAAGCTGCATGTTTATAAGAAACAAATCCATCATTAAGGCATTTTAACTTTAAACCATGCTTCTGGCAAAAATATGAGCTCTCCAGTGAAAAAGTCCATCCCCTGTGGCAGCTAAATGCACCAACAAATTTGTTTTGAACTATTTTGGACTGTTTTTCGATTGTAAATGGTGCTTGATCTGTGTATATTTCTCTCCTGATTCAGACCAGACGGCTTTTTCACTGGAAAAAGCAATATTATGGATTATGGACCCATATTTTTGCCTGAAGCTATGGTTTGAAGTTAAAAATGTCTTAATGATGAATTTGTTTCTTATAAACAAGCAGCTTTTCTCTTCACAAGACATTAACTGATGGACTGGAGTGGTGTGGATTACTTGTGGATTATTGTGATGTTTTTATCAGCTGTTTATTATCATTCTGACGGCACCCATCTACATCTTGGCCTGAGGTGAGTAAATATTCAGCTAATTTTCATTTTTGGGTGAACTATTCCTTTAATCAGTCTAATCTGCTCATTCTTCGACCTCGAGTGGACAGTAACATAGAGACAGATGTCTGAACGTGTGTGTGCGTGATAGAGCATTTCTGTTCTGCTGTTTGTGCTAAAGTCCTTGTTT